CAAATCCACCTCTATATGGGCGCCATTAGTTGAACGAAGCCCATGAAGAAGACGGTAGACAATTTCTTGCCATGTTCGTTGTAGCAAAGCCTTATCAACGGTGGCAACTGAATTAATGATTTTTTGCTTTATATCAATGCTGTCCCGTATATGTTTAACATAACCCCAAGAGAGTGATATCTGGTGAACGAGGTGGCCAGGGAATTGGACCATCCCTTCCAATCTACCTGTCTGGAAATGTTAAGGATTCATTTAACAGTACCTCTTTCATCAATAGGATACCTGAAATACACAAAGACAATGTAATTAAAAACTTTGATAATTACTGAGTAGATAGAACAAATTTGATTAAGATATTTTATCAATTCCCTTTGGAATATATTTTTTAATTTGTAGAGAAACATTATGGACATCCTGTATTTTGATTCTTGCATTTACCAAGAACCTTTCTTTTCCACCCTGGACAGAGTTTAGACATACAGTCTCTTTCAGAAAGAGTTGCAATGGATTTGGGCTCACAATATTTTTCCATAATATACTATACAGTTGACTTGGATAGGGAGAAATGCTGCTCCAAGACTCATTCTTGAATTACAATGTTCACAATTCATTTATATCGACAGACAATGCTTTTACCTTTGCTATTTTGATGATGTTGATATCTGGCTTGAAGTGAATGCTGAACACGATCATTACTGTAAACTCAAGTCCTTTTTAAAATGGTAGCAGGTGGCATATTGGCCTGAAAACAGATAATGAATGGCAGCAGACAACAAAAAAAAAACGAAGACTTGAGTAAAAAAATATATTGCCAAGTTTATTTTTGTTAAATAAAATACATTGATAAAAATAAGGTTACATTGCACTAGGCAAAAATATCTCTCTGTTTATATAGAAGCCGAGAAGAGTAGTCACTGAAGAGTGTTGTCCTGAAAAGGACATTTTATTGCATATCATTGCTGCTGGTGATGATTGCTGGAGATGGAGGTTGGCTGGAGTGGCAGACAAGCTGGAGTTGGAGATGATAATGGCTGGCTTGAAGGAACTGCTGGAGCCATAGGCCAGCTGTTGGAACAGATACTACACTTTGATCGTAGTCATTTGGGCCACAGAGTAGTTATTTACACCAGCCTCCCCACTGAGACAAGATGTGACCCCAGGTCAGGTTTAATTTGGGGAACTCGAGTATGTACACTCTGGCCAAGGACAAAAAGCACTGACCTTGGAATGACTACCAATCCCCCTCTCTAGTGCTATGGGGGGTGCAGCTTCAGACATCTGATACCCGGGCACCTGGCAGTTTTTTTATTTTAATGAACTGTGTCTCTATCCACAAAAAGAGCCACAACTGAATTTCACTGTCTGAAGACAGAGATGTAACAGAGAGATGATAATCTACCCTGGTACAGGCTGTGGGTGCTACTTTTTGAGCTTTGAGGCCTTTTTATATCCTGACAATTACTGGTCAAGATTTTTGGTTTTTTTGTTTTTTAAAGGTGTGGGAGTGCCGACAGGATACAACAGTCTAAGTCAGGTCCAGCTTGATCGACGACCTCATCATAATATGATATAAATATTATATATTTTAATTTCTTCCAAATACAGGTCTTTCTCACTCCTGTTGGAGGAACCCTTCATTGGTTGACTTCTGCCACTCCGTATCTCTGGTTATATTTAGCCATGTTGGGCCAGAGTATCGGGTCAGATCATCACGCCATCTTGCATTTGGTCACCGTCTAGTTCTTTGCCACTGCCTTGGTGGCCACTCTGTTGCTCTAATAGTCCAGATGAGACCTATGTCTGGCCTTCTTGATGGTCCTGATTATGTGTTTTACTACAGTCTGCTGTCAAATCCAGGTGTTGCTCTTTCTGTCACATAAGGTGATGTCAAGCATGATTTGCTCCATTTTATGTTGGGCGACTGCAAAAGTAGCAGTGTTGAGCACCCATGTCTTACTTTCGTAAGTCATCACCAACGAGCAGAATATATTCATTAAACAACTTTCTCTTGGTGTCAATTGTTCACTTGCAATTTCTCATGATGTTATAAATTTTTCCAAAAGCCACCCAGTCAAGCATTCTCCTTCTTTTGACATCATAATTTAAATAATGTCTTGACGGATGGATAATTTTATCCTTACCAATGTTTAATGTATTTATAATGCTATTGTATTGAATAAGATTTTTCTGAAATGGATTAAGGGTATTTCTGGGAAGTGTTCTAACAGAGTACAGAAAGTACAACTCTGAGATCCGAAGATGTATTGGGATGGCTAAAGATGCATTCCAAAAGCTAAGTAGAGTATCAAGAGACAGGAAAAATTTGTTAGAAACAAAGAAAAGATTATTGGAGTGTTACGTGATATCTGTCCTTCTGTATGGCAGCGAATGCTGGACAATCTCATCAAGGAGGAAGAAGAGACTTGAAGCAACAGAAATATGGTTCAACAGAAAGATGCTGAGGATACCATAGACTGAACATATGAGCAATGACAAGGTTTTGGAGAGAAAGGAAACAAAGGAAACTGATACTTAACATCAGGAAGAGGCAACTGAAATTTCTGGGGCAAATAATAAGGAAGGAGAGCTTGGAGAAACTGATACTCACAGGTCGAATAGAGGGCAAGAGAGACAGAGGCAAATGAGCATGTAACATACTTGATGGGCCTTGAGCAAGTGGATGGCAGAACAGGGTTTGGGAGAAATAACAAAAAGACAAAACTTATTAAGAGTGAAAAAGAATAGGAAGATGTGCAGGGCAATGACCAGCTACGTCTTGAGGGGACACTGCACATAAAAGAAGAATCCAATACCTAAGATGTTAATCTTTATGTTATGCATATAAAAAAATTTGTTTAGTTATTTGAAAAGTAAATATTACTTTAAATGAAATTGATTGTACCATAATTTTGTACCTCATTGTATATTTTTTTTAATCAATTCACCCCAAGCAAGGTGACAATGCTACTAAGGTACAAGAGGCTACAGAGAGTGAAAGAGAATGTAAAGACTTTAGAAGGAACTGGAAACCCAATCCTAAACACAGAACAAATTATAGACTGAGAAGGAATCTCCTGATCAACACCCATTCTCCAGTCTTTTGAAAAAGATCCCTTGTTTCTTGTTTAGGATTGAGTTTCTGGTTCCTTCTAAAGTCTAATTCAACTCTATACTTCTAATATCTCCACCTGAACTCTGAAATTTGATTTCCTAATTATTTATTTATTTTTCTTCTCAGCAGGAGTCAGGAGGTTTGCCTGTCACCTAGTTCACACTCCTCAATGGAATATTTTAGGAAATGGTGCTTTATGAAAAGCAATATTGAAACCAATCATCACGCTATGTGAATGACACTTTCATTGTCTAACCTTAGGAGGAAGATGTTTAAACACTGTTGAACCATGCAATTACATTAGTTTTAATTGTATTAGTTTTTAGAATGTTGTAAATATAAAATTATTCTTGTAAATAATCTAATAGATAGTGTCTAATATTTTTGTTTTAAATTCTCAAGAACAAAATATTATATAAATTCACTTCTATTATATGTTTAGGCTTTAGTCCAATTCTAATCATTGCTTTTTAAAAACAATAAACATTGCTGAGGATGGAAGGTAATTAAAATAATAGTGGTGGCATGGGAAAAATTGTCCTTTAGTCACTATATCTGATTGTTGGCATGTTTATCCATGTTTGCCAAGAAACCCATCTTACAGTGAAAAATATCTAATTTGATTCTCAGAAAAAAAAAACAACTTTAGTATAAGAAAGCAATGGAAATGAATGTGACAATGCAACCAATTCAGTCCAGTTCCAAAAAACAATGACCTTTTCAAGCCATTATAACAATCACCAGTCAGGCAAAGAAGCTGATGAGAGGACCCTAGTCCTACAGCCACATAATCAACCACATAAGATATTGTGACATCACAATACCTCAACCATATAACCTGGGTATAGAATATATGATATTGATGTGTTAACATGTGTAGATAGTTTATAAATTCAATTTAAATTTGAGTTATTTTAAAACTGGTAAAATTTAACAATAAATTCAGTCTAGAAGGGGTTAAAACCCTTTTCCAACTTCATAAAAATGAAATCTATTGAGTCCAAGTCAAACAATTTTTTATAATCTTCAAAGATTCTCCAATTTATTATGAAGATACATTTCTATAAAAGTCATAATAAAATTGATGTTTCTCCAGTGTGTGTCTTCATATGAGTTTTTAAACTAATATTCTGAGAGAATGCTTTACCACAGATGTCACAATGAAAAGGCGTCTCTCCAGTATGTATTCTTACATGAGTTTGCAGGTTGCCTTTTTGAGAAAAGGCTTTGCCACAAACTTCACAAGAAAATGGAGTTTCTCCTGTATGAATCTTTAGATGACGGTTTAAATGACTCTTTTCTGAAAAAGCTTTGCCACATGCTTCACAACAAAATGGAGTTTCTTCAGTATGAATTCTAAAATGATTATTTAAGTTAGATTTTCTAGAGAAAGCTTTGTTACACACTTCACATGAAAAAGGAGCCTCACCCGTATGTGTCATCATGTGAGTTTTCAAGTTTTTAATTTTTTTATCAAAAAAGCTTTTAAATAATGCCGCAAGTTTCACAATGAAAAGGAGTTTCTCCAGTGTGAGTTCTCATATGTCGATTTAGGCTGGTATTCTGAGATAAAGCTTTACCACATACTTTACAGTGAATAAAATTTTGTCCAGTATGAGACTTTCTATGAGTTTTCAAGTGACGCTTTCGAGAAAAAGATTTGCCACACACTTCACAAGGAAAGGAACATTGTCCAGCATGGATTCTCAGGTGCATTTCTAAAGTTTTATTTTCTGATAAATCTTTTTTGCTTATTTCACATTGGAAAAACTTTTCCTTTGTATGATTTTTCAGGTGAACAGCAAACAAAGTCTCATCAGAAAATGATTTTTTACAAATTTCACATTGAAAATTTTCTTCTTTAAAGGAGGAATCCATCATTTCTTACAATGCTAAATTTCTTCTTTATATGTGCCAATTTCTTCATGGGGGCAAATGCAACCTGGAAAGAAATAAAAAAAATTTAAACATGTGTGTTGTTATAAGGTGGCACTTAAAAGCTGGAATCCATATACTTTTGATATTGTGGGTAATTTAAGGTTTTTGCTATTTTGGGTCATACTTCAGTTTTTGATTTGATTTGATTAATGGCACATCAACTCCTTCATGGGTCATTTAATGCCAAAATTTAATTTTCTTGGGAGCTTCAAAGTAATAAAAAAAGGATACATGTTATTCTGTTTTCACAATTGAATACATGGTAAATGATACTCTGCTTTTGTGTATATACAGGTCTGTTCGGACATAATTACTAGAGGCGGTGATATGTGTATTTTATGTTGTAGTTTTGTTGAAGTTATACTTTTGAATACAGTTTGATTTCTTTAAGAAATTGTTGAGTATTATTTGGATGAATGTCATGAAAGAATTCTTTCCTGTTGGTTGTTTGGTTGATTTTGTTTAGCAGCATATCAACACATCTAGGGGTCATTTAATGCTGAAATGTAAATATTTTGAACACAATTTTACAGTTTCAACAAAATATATTTTGAACGCAATTGTATGCCTCCAACTACAGATAAAATGTATTGCTGGTAATTATACTAGAAATAGGTATTGTTAGTAATTTTCTTATATTAAAAATGTATTGCCAGTCATTTTACTATAAAAATGTTATTTATTTTTTTATGTTTTTACTTTTATAGTTTCATAGTGTTTTTTTGTTTGTTTGAGAGCTCCCTATTTGCCCCTAGCTGGGACCCTAACAGGTGCTACCACCCTGAAACAACAGCAATTAAGAGGTGGTTCCACACTCCTCAAAACCTCCAATCTCCTGATCAGAAGCCTTGCTGCCAGATGTAGTTTATTGTCATACCCAGGACTGTCAGTTTTTGAATTTGTTAAAAAAATTTTATCCTCTTTATTTCTCAAAATTATTCCTATCATCGTTCTTCTCATTCGTCTTTGTGCATTCTAAGTTTGCTTTTAAAACAATTTTATTAATGTCTATATATCACATCCATATATCATAGCTGGTATTATATACTTTAGGGAGTAAGGCACTTTAAATTTATTTTTCTCTAATCATTTCACTCCCAGTAAGGCAATAAAGCCCCTAAGACACAATGGGTTCCAATGAATAAGAGAGTCTGAGAAAACATAACTGAGAAGAGAGGACATTAAAAAGAACAGGATTCAAGGAGACAGATGACAATTGATATTGCATTTAAATTTTTGAATTGACAGGAAAGCAAAAAAGCTGGAAGAAAATTCTACAAGTGAATGGAAGAGAAGAAATTATTAGAATAGAATTTATGGTTGCATCTAGAAATTTCAACAGTAAAATTTTAAGACCTAGTTGTATTGCTTTAGATGATTTTTTTTTTTTAATCAATTCAAACCAAGGCTATAATGCCACTAAGATGCAAGAGGCTACTGGGAATCAAAGAGAACGCAAAAAAAAAAAATTAAAAGGAACTGGAAAGCCAATCCTAAATATGAAAGAAGGGATAAACCTCTACTCCTGTTCAAAAAAATGTCAGGTGGACTATAAACCAGACAATAGGCAAACCAATTTGCAAAAATAAAAAAAAAACATTTAAAACAGCCAATCAAATTCATCTAAAGCAGAGGTTCTCAACTGAGGTTCACATCAGCCCTAAGGATCCATTTAATATTTCTGGGGGTCCACAGGCAAAATATAATAAATTGGGGGTCCACAATGATATTTTGGTGGTCCATGAAGAAAACCAACTCAGAAGGGTTCTTCTTATTAAAATAAAGCACAGCTCTACATTATTGCTTTTCCATCTTCTTCTTGAATCGGGATTTAGTCATGTTTCTCAACTGTTATTAAAAGTTCACAATAGACTTGACATTGTGAAAAGAGGTGATCTTTGACTATCATTAACATCGATGGAACCAGATATAAAGAAACTCACTGAGCAGTATCAACCACAGGAATCTCATTAAATAAATATGCCTTTCTGAAGAGCTCTGCTCCCCATGGCCTTGACCATGGAAGAAACATTGTAATATTGTAATACATGATATTAGTCAATAAAAATTATTATTATTATTATTGTAGAATAATTTATTTGCATTAATTCTGTTTTCATTTAAAAGTAAAGCTTAATTATATAATATTTCTTTGATTATTAAAACCTCAAAATTTTTATTGGTGAAAAATAGAATATTGTTGTTTTATGTCAAATATCTATTAAGGGGTCCTCCATGAAAAAAAAGGAGAGAAAGGGGGCCATGGATTAAAAATGGTTGGGTACTTCTGACCTAAACTATATCTACTCACAGTATTAAATCTACTTACAACTACAAAGAAGAAATTCTCAAAAACAATCAACCAACCAATGATGTATTCTGCACATTTAATGGCCATTAATTTATAATTCACCATTAATTTATAATTCACCAATGGACCTGTCAGTGAACAAGTCTTCATAATCAAAAAACATCTACAAACAATAAACATCAGCCATTTTCAGTAAAAAAAAAAGAATTCATTGGAAAAATAATTATAGTGGAGGGCTATATTTGGTCAGTAGTCAAGAGGTGAGGGGGAGGGGTGTTGGAAAGGGGGTGCTGCATCAAAGAAAGATTCTTCTGGGTTTATGGTGGGATGTGCATGGAATTGCTTATTACAAGCTGCTAAATGATCGATCAATTGATTGATTTGGTTTAGCAGCATATCAACACCTCTATGGGTCATTTAATGCCAGAATCTAAATATTTTGAACATATTTTTATGGCTTCAACTACAGATAAAATGTATTGTTGAGCATTTTCCTATAAAATTTATTGTTAGTAATTATTTATATGAAAATGTATTGTTGGTATTTTTACTATAAAAAAGTAATTTTATATTTTCATAGTGTTTGGGGGGTTCACTATATGCCCATAGCTGGGGCCCTAACAGGTGCTACTACTCTGAGTCAGGGTGGACCTGGCATTTAAGACCTGGTTCCACGCTCCTCAAAACTTCCAATTTCGTGATCAGGGGCCTTGCTGCTGGATGTAGTTTATCATCATACCCAGGATTAATGAACTGCTAAACAATAATCAAAGAACCACAGTCAATGGTTACTCTGCCAATAGTTAAGGTGTTTTATATTAAAAAAAAAATGTCAGACAGGATTAGGATAATCATTCACCACAATAATGCCTCACCCTTAAATGTAAAAATGACCAAACAACCAGAAGAACTTATCTGGGGGGGGGATGGTTTATCCATTATAGTCTCCAGATATTACTCTGAAATTATTTACACTATTTACATTTGGACTATTGTCCCCATCTTTTCAGCCATTGTACCGTCCGGCCTTCATCATGTGTATATCAATCCAGATAACCTACAGGGAATTCTGAACTGAACTCTTTATTTAATCTACAGGATAAACTGTTCTCTATCCACTGCCCATGTCTAGGGATATCTTGTCTAGTTCTTATTTTTAGTACTGCTCAGTTATTGCTTGCCCATTTCCACAGAGTCCAAGTACACGCTGCTCCACCCAGGGATTGAACTCACAATTACTATGTGTAATGAAGCATATGTTTAAAAGTTTTCAAAGCCATTTCTATGGATTTTTATTAAAACTTCAAGAGAAGAGGTAGAAAATATGAATTAGTCTCTGATTTCAGGTCAAAATCTAAAGAATTTAGACATGTGGCATTAAAAAGCTTGTTGATAGATCGGATAAAGTGAATGAAATCAATAGTTAATATACCTGTTGATATTTCTGACATGAGATATTGCAATTATTTACACTATATTGTTAGCACTGTTGTCCTCATCTTTGTTGCCATATTCACAATGTTTCAGCTGCTGCGTGCTCCAGCCTTCTTCAGGAACTGTCTATATTTCTGACATGAGGTATTGCAATTATTTACACTATTTACATTGTTCACACTGTTGTCCTCATCTTTTTTGCCATATTCACAACGTTTTGGCCATTGTATGCTCCAGCCGTTGTATGCTCTGACCTTCTTCAGGAACTGTCTATATTTCTGACATGAGGTATTGCAATTATTTACACTATTTACATTGTTCACTGAAAAACAAATCTTTTTTGCCATATTCACAATTCTTTTGGCCATTATAATTCTCCATTTTCGTTTTTGACCTTCTAAAGGAACTGTCTATATTTCTGACATGAGGTATTGCAATTATTTGCACTATTTACATTGTTCAGACTTTCGTTGCCATATTCACGATGTGTATGTACTGGCCTCCTTCAAGTGTTTGGAATTTCAAACTGAACCTTTTATTTCATGCACAGGGATAGATTGTTCTAGTTCCACATGCCATGCCTCTTCTGGATGTCTCTTTATCAGAAAAAAAAATTTGATTTAACTGAAAATTTTTTTTTGTTCACCTCAGCTGTAGCCAGGTATTGAACTCACAACTCTTTGTGTCAAGTCACTGGATTTAACCAATGCTTTTATCCATGGGGTCATGGGTCATTGAGGACAATCACCTGAAGAAGGCCAGTGAATATAATGGCCAAAATGTTGTAAATTGTATTTTATTCTTCATACAAAAAATTGAACAGAACCTTCATTACAATTTAATAACGTTTTTAAAGTGTAAAGTACAAAATGGTGCTGTACTTTAAATTTAACCTCCAAAATTACTTCATGTTAAGTATAAAATGGGAGCTTCAGTGGAATAATGAATAACGGCTTGAATTGGTTGGAGAGTAAAGTTCAAATTCCAGTCAAGTTTGTTACATTAACTTACGTGCTAATAATGCAAATTATGAATTAATCTATTTTCTCCCCACCTATGGTTAAATAGCAGGACAGACAATGAAAACAATCCATGTAAAAATTCATTATTCATTGAAAAAAAAAATTGTAAGACAATAGTGTCCTTAATATATCTTATTTATAAAAGCAATTAAAATCTTTTCTAATTAAACAATGTCATAGTTTTATTGCGTTATTTATTTTAAGATTCAGAGCTGATTTTCGGTAAATGGTCTTTCTATTTGACAAAAACAAATTGATGATTTAAATTCCTCAATGAGTCCCGCTTTTAACAAATCTAAACATGAAAAAAGAGGTTGGAATTTTAATTTATCTCAAAGTTTCATAAAATTAAGTGAGGATAACAGATATTAAAAAAAAAAAAAAATAATATAGCAAAATTAATTTCATTCATTTGTGAATAAGTCCTGAAAATTTTATTAAAATCTGACAATTATTTGATTTTTGCAAGAATCTCTAATTTTAATGGCGAAAAAAGATGAAATTTTCTATGCTAATCTTTGGCCCACCCGCTGACGCAAGAAAAACAAAATTTTATCTAAAATTTCGAACATGCTTGAAAGGATTTTAAAAATATTAATGAAATAAAAATACTTTGGTCTTTCCTCTTAGTTTTAATAAAAAATATTTTGACGATAAAACTTTTTTTTACCAAGTTTGGGGACTTTTTCCATTATGGCATATTCTTTTTAGAGGTACCTAAAGTGGATGATAGAACAGGGAGCAAGAAAGATGGTGAATAGACTCTCCTTATTAAGTGGTAAAATGGATAGGAAGTTGTGGAGTGCCATGATCGCACACGTCCTGAAGTGGCACAGTAGAAGAAGGACAAGGGAGGTAATTTGTGCGGAAAATAAAAATAATTTGATGGGTTATTAAAGAAAGATTATGAAGATAATTATTTTATTCTGAAATTCTAATGGATATTAATTTTTCTGAAAAGTAAATAATTTTAAGTCAGCTTCGTCAATATAAGTTCCAGGAAGAAGAAAGAATTGGTTTTCTTGCTTTTAAATTTCAAAGTTTTGTCACGTCGTGGAATTTACAAGGTCAAGTCTTGAAAAAAAAAGTACATCACTGTTCTCTCAAGTGGTCTCCCTGGTGGTAGAGAGAGTTGTGATCGGCGCCAGAGGTCAGAGTTCGAGATTTGGGAGTTAACAAAAACAAACACAGGGGCGTGTGCTCCATTAAAAAAAAAAAGTAAAAAATTTTCGAAGCAGGAAAGTTATGCTATATTTGGAATACTGGCGCAACACAATCTTTCTATTCATTTTCATGCTGCCCGTTTATTTAAAAAAAAAAAAAAAAACAAGCTAAAAATTTTTTAGAGGCCAGTTTTTTTTGTCTCAAGTTTTGAGAGAAATAAAAAAAAATGGATCCTTACCAAAGTTTCTTTCGGATCAACTGAATTTTCCATTTCAACATTTTTAGAAGACATTAAAAAGAAAGAAAAGCAAATTCTTCTTTCCTATGGGAAATTATTGAAATCATGTTTATAATTTATTTAAAACGATTAATATTCGCAATGAAGCCATTACAAAGCAAGGGGGAATAATTTGTCGGTGACAATTGAAAAATGTTCCTTAAAAAAATACTATCCAGCTAAATCATATTCAGTCAGTTATATGCCATGCGTGATACACGCTTAGACGATCATATATCTTTCGATACATGACTGACGAGGCAGATTTTTTCCCGCAGTAGGTTGCCATTTCTTTCTGGGGTAGACCAGTTGCCATCCAAGCTTATAGGACCCGGTCTATCCTGCTATTACCCATAGCTGACGGGAGAAGAAGAGTATTTAGCACGTAAGTGAAATGTAATGGATTCAACTGGAATTCGAACTCGGCTCTCCGATTCCTCAATCCGAGCCGCTATCCATTACTCTACCGCCTCCCAATTACACTGAACTTAAATCGAGTTCGCTGATTCAGAATCTTTCTCCAATCCCTTGTTATTGGTTTTCTGTCATTTTTTTAATATCCTAGTAATGGTAATAGTATCAATATTTTAAAGATTTGAAAAAATATATTTAATATGAATCGTTGTCAACCATTCATTTTTGTTTTTGACAAGTATGTCTTTGTAGTGAGTGTGAAGTAATAATAATAACTCCCTTTACTTACACGCTTCAAATTCGGGTGAACTGAGGAAAAAGAAAGAAAGGAATTTGCGAGCCTATGTGAAATTTTCATTATACCAATGAAAACCTCGCCTTCAAAGAGAATGACCGGCGAGCTGAGGAGAAAACAGAAATATATTCGTGAGCCTATGTGAAATTGTTTTGGGAACAACGAAAATTTCGTCTTCAATAGAAATTAGCCATTGAGCGAAGAAGAAGAAGAAAGAAAAGAATGTAGCGAAACTATGCGAAATTCCTTTTGATGTAAAATGGAGAGAAAAATTAAATTAACAAAAGAAAATTGCCTGAAGGGTTTTGTGGTGAATACAAAATAAAAATAACTCTCTTTTCTTCACTGTTTTCAAATTCGCGAGCCTGTGTGAAAATTTATTTTGACCAATGGAAAACGGAGCGGCTTACAAACTGAGAAAAAAGTAATGAGCCGATGTGAAATCGCTTTTTGATATAAATAGGCAGAGAAAGTTGAATCAAGGCACAGAGAGAGAGAGAGAGAGAGAGAGAGAGAGAGGGCAGAAAGAAGCAAAGTTCCACGTGTCTGAATAATGCCGGTGTTAAATTACACACTGATAATTATCAGCCTCTAATGAAAGCAGGGCAATTTCAAATAACTCTATTCAACCCTAAAGGTAAGTACCTTAAAATATATATTTTCATTTTTGTTGAATACAACCTTATAACTTTTATGTGAAAAACGAACTCTCTCAATTTGTTTTAAACATTTTGAAATATTACTTTGTCTGATGATTTGATATGAACCTTTTCTCTTCTTCACAATTCATCAAAACTACGAACTTTAAATATTTAATTCCTTTTCCTAAAACAAGCTATTGACAACTTCAAATGTGTAATTTTGTAAATAAATTCCTTATTTTGTTTCGTTAAATATAACACGTGTGTTTTCTCATCATTTTCCCTCATTTATGTCAGTTTCGTTTCAGTTACTCGCGACCAGAGTTGAAGTTCTTGCAAGTGTCAAATTATTCGCCAATGAAATTATTGACCTTTAACTTAGCACACGGCACTTCAAAGAATTTTCTCAACAATCCAAGAAAGTTAAGTATTTCAAACTATCTCTCTTCGTTTACTTTTGAACGCATGTAAACCATTTATCACTTCGGCCAGCATCGAACTCTCTTACCTTTGTTGTAAACATTTTGAATATTATTTTGTGTCAGATCATTTAATCTGTTGTATGAACATTTCCCCTTCATAACAATCCGTTAAAACTACGAACTTTAAAAAAATCACATAACTTCAAGCGTGTAAATTCGTAAATAAATTCCTTATCTTGTTTTGTTAAAATTACCCATGTTTCTTTGTTATTATCATCCTTCATTAATCTTCTTGGTGTGGGTAAATCAACTGTTCATTTCAACCACTAAAACCAAAGCCACTATAGCCTACATATTATTTTTAAGTACTTTTCATTGCAATTACACAAACTGTCACACAATGGTCATTAAAAGTGATCTATTTAATTTTATTATGAATTATTATCAAGTAATACTAACGCGTATTTCACGTGGATATGCACGTGTAACAGGATGCTAACTCTGGTTCGACATGTAGTTACATGAGAATGTATAATGATTTGAGGTGATTAGAAATAAGCAATAAATTCCGAAAACTCCCCCCAGGGATATTTTAATTAGGAGAAAAATGGAAAAAGAAACAGAATTAAAGTTACATCAAATATATAAAACGAAGTTGATGAGGGAATCAGAGAGAGTTGAACCCTGAACGAATTTGGTGAAAAGTCATTAAAGTTGGAATTTTTCACAGGTGGTCTCTGATGAAGAAATTTATTTGCTTGGATTTCATAAATGACACAAATTCACAGAACCACACGTGGTTCAAATAATCGAAAATCCACTCTCCCAATTACTCTGCCATTAAATTTATAAATGCGTTCAAAGCAGGGACGTGCCGTCGAGGTAAGCAAGGTAGGCAGTAACTACCCTGAATAAAATAGATCAGCAGCTATATTTTCCTTCTGTGGTACATTATAAACCAAATCCAACAAAATTATGAAAGCCACTCTGATTATTATGCATAAAATGCTAATTTTTTCTTTTTTTGTAGATTTACTACATAAAGGTCACAAGCTACTTACCCTACATGAAAGACGGTAGTGGCCTGCTGACGGGCCGTCGATGCCAATGCCAACGGTTCAAAGAGCTGGAAGCCGCTGACAGGGATTCTGCAGTAGTAGCCAAAAGCAAGATGCCCGCTCAGTGTTCTCGTAGTCGTCGGCTTAATCTCGTAGCCAAAAATTTAATTCATTCTGTGTTGATCGCTTCATTGATAATGATGGCGTTGATGACTAAATTCGCCGCCAACGTTCAGGACTAGAAGCTTCCAATTTCACCAAAACCTGATTCCGTCATTCAAATTCCCTATCGTCGTTTAACTTTGCAAAGTTGGATGGTCGGAGTGAATGGACGGGTTATTTTTCTTGCTCAAAGAAAACGATGTCGTATTTTAAAAGGGAAGTCGGGATTATTTTATTTATCCATTTATTCTTATATTTTTTCTTTATTATATTACTATGCATTTATAATCTTTAATGATTAAAATACATATTTGTTGTTTTTACGATAAATCGAGGCATACTATTTACACTATTCTTGTTCTCATCTTTATTGTCATATTCACGATGTTTCGGCAGTTGTACGCTCCGGCCTTCAGTGAAATACGTTGGAATTTCCAACCGAATCCTTTATTTAGTCGACTAGGGTAGCTTGTTCTAGTTCCACGTGCCGGGTCTTTTCTGAATATCGCAGTTTAAAGTTATTTTCCTTTAGTAACTTAACTCTCGAACTTTTTTGTTCACCACTGCCGTAACCAGGTATTGAACTCACAACACTTTGGGTCAAGTCACTGGATTCCTTCAGCCAACGTTTTTTTTTTAATTTTTTATTGTGTCCTTGACGTGAATGAATGGGGGGGGGGGCTTGTAAACCTAATGTCTCAGTAACCATTTTTTTTACCAGAGTATATATGTGATGTGGAGAGGCTAATCCATGTCTGCAAAGACAAAAGATAACCGTCTGATCTGCGCAAAGCACTTGTTGAGCAAATTGAAACATCAAGAGTCTGGAAAAATTTGGCTTTTTTCTCTGGGTGAGAAATCTTTGAAAAGGGTCAACCGAAGGAACTTCAGCTGGTTATGTAGAATGTTCCAACGGTCATGTACACAAAGTTTCTGGCAAATGTGATCGTTCTGTTAGTTATAAGCAACGAGGGGGAATTCATAGTTCCTTATTTCAGGGCTTAAAGGTCAAAGCTGCTGACTATAAGGAGCTGTTGGAAGGGGTTGTGAAGCTTTGGGTAGAGAGCGTGGACAAAGGAAGACCGGACATCTATTAACATGATTCTGCGACATCCCATAAGACCAAGATGACCCAAGAATGGACCACTTACAATCTCTACGATCACGTCGACCCAAACATGGCTTCCTAGCTCTCCAGACCTGAACCCGTTGGACGACTAAGTGTGGGACGTAGTCGAGCGGGAATTCAGTATACACCCCATAACATATCTGAAGTCTACAATAAATAGCACAATGTTCTCAGGAATGACAGCTGGTTATACAAAGACCTTAAGGACGTTCTAAAGGCCATACACACAAAGTTTCCGGAAACCGTGGTGGTTTTGCGAGTCGTAAGCAACGAGGGAGAATGCATACTTCCTCGCTTCTTTTCTCAGGGCTTAAAGACCTGTTAAAGAGAGATGTGAAGCCTTGGACAGAGAGCGTGAGCAAAGGAAGACCTTACATCTACCAACATAACTCTGCGCCGTCTCATGAAGTCAAGATAACCCTGAGTCCGTTGGGCGACTGTGTGTTGAGAGGGAAGTCAATCAACGTTTCCAGTACACTATAAATTCTCTAATAGTAACCAGGTGTACCCCATATTAACAAAAGAGTAATTTATGAATTTTTTTAATACTTATAATAATAATATGTGTCGCCTCCTTCTCGTTCTCAGCTTGGTTGTAGTTAACCCAGGGTTAAATCCCTTGGTCACAGGCACCAATTGTCGCCTCCTCCTCTTTCTTGGCCGTCCGAATGTCCAACTCCCTCGGCTGATCGGCTTATCCCACGTGGTGTTTAGTTTTGATTATAAGGCTAGCAAACATTGAATCATTGTCGCGAATCGTCACAGAATGAAGACGCAAGTGAGAAGAAAAATAACGAATAAAAATAAATGTTTTTATATACGTTTTTTTTGTACAGTGCTAGGTCAATGTTGACATTAGAATTTATCAGTCAGTTATCGACCCAAGCTGCTTCTTAAGTTGAACGTGACACTTCAGCTGGCACAACGCTTATGTTGGAGGTTCTCTTCAGGCAGGCAGTCATGTGATATCAGTTAGCGCGGTCGTCTCTCGTCTGTAACAACTGCTTCGATTCCTTGCATTTATTGACATTCACCTAAAACTGATGTAGGTCACGACGTGGTTAGGGGATTTCCCTATCTTCCGACAAGAGCCCTTTTGTTGTCTAGCTCTTGAAAATTAATTACATTTCCAAATCGGGCAATCCCCTTTTCCTATAGATAGTGGTCACAGGTATCAATCGACCCTAATAACCTCTTTTACTGGCATCTCACACCAATACTTCCCAATGTGCATAGGAAATTCATTCACTTTCCTCAGTATTTCACCTGCACTTGCCACCTTTGTTACCCTTTGACCAGTCCGACTCTCAACTGCTTGGCTTAACTTATGGTCATTAATTAAAAAAAAAAATTATTTCAAATTCTGTTTACGCAAAATTTTTCCATTCTGGCTTAGTTTGAAATCAGATATTTACTCTCTGTCAGTCATTCCCCCAACCTTGTCAAGGTCATGACATTCCAACCACAAGGAAACTATTCCTGAGTTTTGGATACAGATCAAATCTTATCCGTTCTACTTATTTCCATGTTTTCTTAACCATAACTTTGGAGCTAGGACATTAATCAGTTGTCAGCTTAAAGATCACCACATGGCTTTTTGTGGTAATATCACCTTTCCTTAAGTAAATCTTCTGGTTTTAGAGAATTAAGCTTCTTTTCTTTTTTTTTAAGCGAAATCGTCATTCTTTCTCTCAGTCTGTTATCATTCTATTCATTAACCCTTTCTTTCCATTTACCAGTGCCAAATAGTGACACATAAGCTGATAAAACCTAATTCATAAGATCTGGAAAGTAAGGACCTATGCATATCAAATTCTAAAAATAATGGATTTTTTTTTCTTGATAACCAAAAAATCAGAATGGAATGTTAGGCCCAATAAAGGATTTGAGAAATGTAAAATGTAAACTGCTTGTCAGCAGAAAAACAAATGAAATTGTTATGATTCACAAATCCGATGATGTAAACAATCTGAAATATGATTTGAGAAATGTAAAGTGGACAAAGATTTTTAATGTCATATTGAAAAGTTGACAACAAAGAAAATTCTTTAACGTCAAGGACATAGGAAAGAATTTATAAACACAAAGTTTGTTGTTTATTGTTTTGAATAAGTGACCAACCACAAACCATTGTTTGAAGAACAGTATCGGTTCTCCAAAATTGGAAAGATAATGAATCTTGAGGTGTGATAGGAGTTGGGCGCAATACGTATAAACAGGCGCAAAGGTGACCCAAAGAAACCAGAATCAAGCAGAGAGTATCAGAAGCCAACAGAAGCAGATGAAGCGGCAAGCAGATAACCATCAGTTGACTGGCAGCAGTACTGAACAGTTTGGGAAGGAACCAGGATCAAACCAGACCAGCCGTGATATAAATTGAAAATGTGTGACACACTGACATTCACATTTATTTATATAGATTACCTTCAATTTTCTATAATAATGGAAAATGTAATTTCGAATTTCATGTGGAATAAATAATTCATTTTTTGTAGGTGCAATCTTTCTGTGTATGTAGGCATCAATGTAGGGGATTTCCCTATCTTCCGACAAGAGCCCTTTTGTTGTCTATATAAGTGGGCATTGAAGTAAACACCCAGCAGAGACGTTCTGTGAATGTCACTTCTGGGTGTTGGTTTCAATGTCCAATTTTATATTTGCATATGCTCTATCACTGATGTTAAACACTTTTAAGCCATTAATATGGCTTACCTTAAACCTAAATTTTATAATATACAGGTATACTTCACCCTATACCGCTAGTTGCTTCCAGAGGTCACGAGTTAATTTGTTTTTCAACCTAAGTCGAAATAAACACTAAACCGCAAACAAGCACTCCCCATTGCTTATTACAGTATTTATGATATGTATGTGGAGTATTCTGAATGAAATAATTAACATTAATTAAATTTTAAATTTACATAAACTCATGTAAAACAGCTGAAGGAGTTTTTATTTTTCCATATTATATTTAAGAAAAACCGACATATTTTCCAGAATGACTTAAGCTGAGATATCACTGTATATATTAGACTCCATCAGCAAAAACAATATGCAAAAAAATGATTGACTAGTGGTCAATACTCAGATTCCTAACTTTTGGTTAATTACAATATATATGTTGCTTTACTTTATAGTTTTCTTCCTTGTAAAATGCTGTCTTCTGTAATCCATCTGAAAGTATGATATATGAGAGAAGTCCTAAAGTATGAAACAGAAAAAGATTTTTCATTGTTCTTAATTTTTCCACACACACACATATATATATATATATATCTCCCCAAATGAGAGAAAGAACAAATGGAGTAAAATTCCACTGTTTGTAGGATTTACTTTTAAAAAAGAAGTGCTCAAAATAAAGTAGAGCAATATATTATTATTATATTTTTATTATAAGAGATTATAGTAAAAACATGTTGAAATCATTACACGAATGCTTTCAGGTTTCAATGCTATGATTGAACTTCTTCAGCTGGACTCTCCCCATCATTTGTCAACATATGAGAGTCAAGAAACTCAGTTACTAGGAACTGAAAGCCAAACACCTGCATATGTGATTTGATTATAATGGTGAAGGCTTTGTACAGAACCAACCACAATTTTTGAAGGGCCGAATACAGAGACTTGCTGCACTACTTACCAAAAGGTCCCCAAATAACCCTCCCCAGGTTTTGAATTCAGACTTGTCCTCCAAGGCTATAGAACCTAGTCTGTCCTTCTATTGACCCATAGCTGGATTTAATGGAATTCAAACTCGACTCTCCACTGTGCCTCATATATATCTCATTTTGAACAGAACAAGCAAAGACCAACACATGCACACTCACTATGTATATATTGTTTTGCTGACAGGAAAATTATCAAATTTTAAATCTAAATTGTTTGTCCATATAAAATACCATAAATTTATTAGAAAATAAATTCAATTTAAATACAGAATGGTCATAAAAATGATTTCAAATCACCACACATTTCAGCTTATATTGTTTTTCTATCACCCAGATGTTGTTGCCAGACAGTAAAAAGAAATTAATCACAAGCAACACAAACCATTTCAGTCTCATTCAAGTTGTGTGTAGGTTTGGTGTGAACAGATTAAATAAGCTTTCTATATTATTTTCTAAAAAAAAAAAAAAAAAAAAAAAAAAATCTTTAAAAAGTAGTTTTATTTGTTCCTGAATAATCATTTCTCAATAGTTCAATAAAATCTTCTTTGATTTTTGTTTTAGACTTTACAAAATTAAGGATTTTTTTTTTCATCTCCAAATTTATTTCTGGTTTAACCAATGGAATTGGAAGCAATGGGATTCTTTGAATGTTTTATTTCAAATTTTGTTAAATTATATATTTGTGCGTACATATATTAAATTGCATAAGCATATGTAAGTCACACATGCACAGCAATCACTACAAAAATATGGTTATTTTTGTAGTGATTTTATAACATTTTTAACATGACAGAAAAGGTTTAGGCTCACTAGCCAAAAGAGGTTAGGTTTTGGGGTCACTGCCCTAAAATGTTAAGAAGTAGATTTAAAAAAAAAAAAAAAAAAAAAACAATTATTACATATCTTTGATTATCATTTAATAATTTCATACTGTAGTGTATAAGGCATTAAGCTTTTCTTTTAATGTTTATTTTTATTTTTTTTTTTTTTTTTTTTAGAAATTTTCATTTCCTGTCAGTTTTAATGAAGTTTTCATTAATAGACATTTCTTCCCTGCCGTTAGGTCATTAAATCGATACATATTTCTTTTTCTTATGTATATAAGAGTGCTCTATTTTAAATACTTTTAAAAGAGCTTTGAATGCATGCACATAAAAATTGATTTAAATTTATTTACTCATTAAGAGCCCCTTTCATGCTTACTAATTTTTCAAAATGGGTTCCTGTTTATTTTGAATGTTCCCAACATCAATTATTCTTTCCATCTTTTCTCTTTTGAACAAACTTGGAAGCATTTAAAATAAACAAGCACCCATTTTGAAAAATTGAAAGGGGCTGTTAATGAGTAAATAAATCAAGGATGTTATATACACACACAGATATTACATACATGTGAGGAAAGCTGAAGAACAAATTAACCAAAAAACTGTTGCAAAAACAACTTTATCCAAACAATTGGTGGAATAAGAAAAAGAAATAAAAAAATAAAAGCACAAACCACATGACTTTTACTATCTGATTGCAATTAATACCCCACTTTGTCACATGACAACCAAATTTTGGTCTTTTTCTTTGTGAACTTTTTAAGATGTCAGGTAATACAGATTAGGAATGTAAAATAAAATTATATTTGCACTGGAAGTTGTTTCAAGAACATTTGGTTATCAAGAATCAGTCATCAGCATCGTCAAACTGACCTGGAAAAAAATGGAATTGAACCGAGTTGTAACGGACATTCTTACAGTGGATGTCGGAAGGCATAAAAAAATGCCGGTCTTGATAACTGTATGTGTCTAAAAAAAAAAAAAAAAAAAAAAAAAGAAAAGAAAAGAAAGAGTAATGCAAGAATTGAAGATTTTTTTATTAGAGGCACAAAATTTAATTAATGAGATGATTGAGTGAGAATTAAAAATAAAATATATATATATATATATATATATATATATATATATATATATATATATATATATATATACATATATATACATATATATATATATATTTAGTTGGATTGATGTGTGTTTGTGACCCTGGGTTTCACGCTATTTGTGATCATCAGACAAACTGATTAATTTTTAAATTTTGGATTTATATATGGTTGCATATATCGGTGTTTTTATGGAAGTGGGAGGAAAAATTGTCATCAGGACGCCACTCATACTTATGCAAACATACATATATGCATGTACATTCATTGACGTATGCAGACACACACACACACCGTAGCTCACACAAACATATGTAAACAGTGTGGGACTGGGCATATATGTGTTGTTGCGCACATACATACACATTTGGTCACTGTATTCAATCTTTGATTGTGTAGTGAATATTTCTTGTTTGTTGCGCTGTCAACACGCAGACCGTTTTTCTATTTTTGTTCGCTGAATAATACTTTCTCACATGTACGTATATACGTATGATGGAGTCTGTGTAAGACTATGATAGGTAAAAATTGCAATTATTTTTAAGGTTTTAAGGCTGTTTTGTTATTAATTTAAAGCCAGTTATTTGCTTGTTTTTGGCGAGTGCGTATATGTAAATGGTAGAAATTCCAATCTGTAATACTTATTAGTATTTATGTGGTGGTATTAATTTTGCTGGGAGAGAGAGAAGTAATTTACATTAATGGTGATTGTGGACTAATACAGCAATAGTAATTGTGATGTGGCAGTAATGGTTGGGGAGCGTGTGATGATTACAATAACTATTTTCTGCTACAATTGTTAAGTGGTAAAAGTGATTAGTAATGGTGGTGGAATGATAATAATAATAATTGCAATTATTGTGATGGTAGTTTAAACTAGAAAATAATTGATGGTATTATGGTGACAGTGGTTTCTCTTTTCATGTTTATAGGGTCAATGGTGGTTTATGTAATTGTGTTGGTTGGTATTTTTATTCATTTGGCATAAATTCTCATAATAGGTATTTATTTTCATGCCTGCATTTCAAAATTATTTCTGATCTTATGTTTAGTAAATTCTTTTGTTGGCTATGAGAAATTACTGCTACCTTTTCGTGTAGGCAAAGTAGGCATTTCTTTGTAATGTTATTGTAGGCAGGTGCTTTTTTCAATATTTTCCAGCTTATTCTTGGTGTAATATTTGTCTTTTAGATGCCATATGTATGTGGATAGTGTAGTGCTGTTCAGGTATTTTCTGTTGGAGAATGAAAGGTTGTGGTTGTTTTTTTCTCTTCTTAAATGGTCCCTCAGTAGCACTGATGTAGTACATTGTGCTGCTGTTTGCACTTACCTTGGCTTTATATATTATATTCGTTTGTTGGCAATTTCCTTGGAGTGGACAAGTCGTTTTATTTCTGCAGTTGCATTGAGGTTCCTTGATTGCATTATTGTAGATTGTTACTTTTTTGGTGTGGCTTTTTATTATTTGTGTTATATTTTTTGTGCAGCTGTAACTGATTTTAACATTATTTTTGGTGAATATTTTTGGTAATCAGTTTGTTTCAGGGAAGTGCTTTTCTATTAAGTTTAGGAATGTCCTTCCTATTTTAGTTTTGACAGTTTTGTTGTATGGTGGGTTAAACCAGATAACATTTCTTTTTCTGTTTTTGCATTTCAGTTGTGGAGGTGTGTGGGTATATATATATATATATATATATATATATATATATAAATAAAAATGTTGGTGGAACCAACAGACAACTTGCCAAAACCTAAAACTCTTATCCAGATATAGTCTTGAATAAAAGTGACAATACTGAAAAAAGGCCTAAAGACAAACTTATCTACTCAGTTAAAAGCTCAAGGCTCAGACTGCCTAGACAAAGCAAAAAAATGCTTACTAACATTAAATCCTATGAAAGGATGGCTCTAGAATTTGAGTTTCATGCTCACGTGATCTTCAGATGACTTGAAGGCAAAATGAAAGTGTGTGTGTGTATATATATATATATATATATATATATATATATATATATATATATATATATACACACACACACACACACACACAGTGAGCCCCACCTATTCATGTTTTGGCATTTGCAGTTTCACACAATCGCAGATTTTTTATTTAGAACATATGTACTTGTTATATGGAAAACGAATATTCACAAGTTTTTCTGAAGAATATATGTACAGATTATTCACCGAGAACTTCCTCAATTCGCGGATTTTATCGATAGAACATATTTAAAATATTCTTGTACTATTTTCCTGTTATTTAAGAGACTTAAAACATATAACAGTCTATTTTTATGGTAGAAATTGGCAGAATTGTACATCTTCATTGTAAAAAACGTAAAAACATGCATAGTGCTTTGGCTTTGATCTTTGTTAGGTGCTGTGGCTGGGGACTTAAAAGTGGCTTATGCTAAGTCTGGGGGTCATCATCACAGTTCTGTTTTTAAAAATATTTTAAACTTTATACGCCTTATTACACATATTTTATACAGTATTTTCAATGGTTGTATCAATCTATGTGTAATTAAAAACGGTTATTGTATGTAGAAGAGAAAATTTAAGCGTATAGTCACCAATACTATTTTCAAAAATGTTTTAAAAAGGGTCTGAGATGTTTCTAAAGTATTTAGGATGAAAGTTTAAGGCATATGGGGTTTTAACAATCAAAATAGGTATTTATAAGCACTTTTCATGGGGTTAAAAGTATTCGCAGATTCTAACTATTTGCGGCCAGTCCTGATCCCTAACCCCTGCAAATATGGGACTCACTATAGCTGTTTGGTCTCAGCATGATGTTTATAACATCAACATGCTTATGTTGATTTATTATAAATTTTCTATAGAAATTCTCCCATTGACAGGTTGTATTGTCAGTCAAATCTCTTCTTTTAAGAAATATCAGAATATTGAATATGAGAATTTGAGATATATATATATATATATATATATATATATATATCTAACAAAAATTATGTTTAGCATAATAATCCAGTGTACATGTGAGTGACCACAACTACCGGTTTCTTGCACACTAATACATTTTTTGCTCAGACAATAATGGTTTGTTTGGTGATTTATATCCACTCTGCTAATTCAAAATGTTACACTGTACAGGTTAGCTGACAAATACCTATAAGGGACTCAACTAAAAATCCCCAAGGGGGATATACACATAGGACCAAGGATCAAAGTCATTCCATTTCAAATCAACAAGGCTTTGACTATCACAGATTTTTTCCTACTTTTTATTCCTCATAACTGGTTTGTTTTTCATGTTTTTGATGCTTAATTTACCAATAATTGACAGTGACTCATTAAAAAGTTGCAAATCATTTCCAGTATCTACAAAAATGCTAGAAGACTGTGGCTGGTCTTCAGCTGATGTTCCAGAACTTTCAGAAAACTCAGTTAATGCTGTTAATTTTATTCAACAATGGATTTGCTTGTTAATCATTTTGTAAATGTTAAGAATCTTTTTTTTAAATATTTATTTCAACATATCATTTTTTAGATCGAAACTTAATTTTTTTAAATATATATAAAAAAATACTGAAAATTTGATTGTATTTAGTGTACCATGTCAAATATCAACAAAAATTTGTTAGTCATAAACATTATTTGTTGCATATTTTCATATTATGTTATCTTAACATTAATTCATGACATTTTTTTAAATAATTATTTTCATTATGTCACTTTTTCATATAAAAATCAATTTTTTTTTATAATATAAATGTAAACAAAATAAAAAAAAAGGTTGTTTATTTTCCACCAACATGTCAACATTTAACCACAAATAACAAATTCTGTTGATAGTTCTTATGTGAATATTAATCAGCATTCAAAGAGCTTTCTAAAGATATACAACTTGACCATATTGGGTGATATGAAAATGTTAGTATATAGTGGTAGATGTGCAAATCCGCCATTTTAAAATGGCCCAAATCACTAAAACTCTTGTAATTCAGGTCAGTCAAAAGTTCAAAAAATTCTGTACATATATTGCCATAAGGCAGACAAATTTGTTGTCAAATTAAAAAGATAATTGAAGATATGTTTTTTGAGGAATTATCTTATTTGATCTTTCAACAAAAAAGAAATAGATCACATTTTAGATCCATTCAAATACTTTAAAATGGTATATAATTTAGTTCTGTAGGTGAAAAAAAAAACCAACTCAGATATTGATATTTAAACTTTGTGACTATTTTCTAAAATTCACCATTTTGGCAAGAGTCATATCTTGGGAAACCTTTGACCTCAAGAAATAATATAGGTACCATTCTATTTCTATCATGAAGCTCTATGAAGTGTACCAAATAGGAAAAAATTGATGATCAGACCCTTGTTGATTTGACATGGAATGACTCAACAGCAAATGTTGAGAAAAGAGGAAGAAAAAAAAAAATTTAACGAAATACCAGAATAAATTTATGAGTGTGCTTAAAAAAAAGTTTTTGATGGCGCAGGAACAACTGGATAAATATAATAAACATAATATAAAGCTCTGTTATTTCTGTATGGAGCACTTTTGTGCTATTTTAGTGTACTTCTTTGGGAGCTACTTAATTCTGTGTTATATATATATATATATATATATATATATATATTTGTGTGTGTATGTATGTGTTTCAAAGTACTGTGATTAAGCCTTTTATTGAATTTTTCTTGTGTTCGAACAAGTGTTTTCTTTTCTGGACACAGAGTGTGTAGAAACTGTTCAAATGTTCTGTAATTCCAACACATGGCCCCAAAAACTTGGAGAGTTGAGTTAAAGGGAAATAATTGAGACATCCAGAAGAGGCATGGCATGTAAAACTAGAACAATCTATCCCGATGAATGAAATAAAGTGTTCAGTTCTGAATTCCAATCACCTGAAGAAGGCTGGAGCATACAATGACCGAAAAGTTGTGAAGTAAACAAAAAAAATATGATTTTTAAAATAAAAATATCAAAGAAATAATTGGTTTACTTAAATAAAATTCAACTTACCTCCCTTGGAACATATTTGAAAATATTTTGAGTTTGGTTACAAAAAAAAAAAAAAAAATTTGTGGGAAGTAGTGTGAAACTTATTTTGCCATTCGTAATATTGTAACAGCTCAAGCACAAGGAGTTCTTAGAATGAGAGAGAGAAGGGTGGAGGTCTTTCAACAAAAAAAAAAAAATAAATAAATAAATAAATAAATTGAGATTTTGACTGGGGGAATAGTGGGGAAACGGTTAAGGTGATCAAATAAAAGTGAGGCTGGATGTGATGTTTCCATATTTACTCACCCACATCATATAAACCATTTGAAAGTTCCAAGTCACAGTCCGTCTCTTCCTCCTCCTCCTCCTCCTCTTTTTGTTGACATGCACTTTGTGAGATTTCTGACATGGAGAGAGAAGCCACTTAATAATACACATGCAGACATTGAATTTGTTTGTTTTTACTACTTCTTCCTCAGCCGAGATTAGTTTAGCTTGAATCTTAACTACTGTGACCTTTATAAAAAGTTTAAGCCATTTGACCGAATGCTAAAACTTTCCTGGAAGCAGAAAGATAACATCAATTCGAGTTGCTAGCAAAATGACTCCGTTTGACATAATGCAGTGCAAATTGTTCTGCTTATTGGTCAAAAGATACACAAAAGGATAAAATCTCCAGTTTGAGAATTTACGTCACACTTTAAAACAATCGCCTTTTACCAAAATGGACACAGATCACAGTTCATGAGGAAATAGATATGTTTACATGAAATACCAGGTGTGTCATTAATAAAAAGTTTCATTAATGATAGGATAAAAATCAATAACAATCGATTGGTTACTGCTGTCTTAAAACAAGTCAATAAGGAAAGTTGAAGCTTATTCAGAATGGCACAACAGATGCCAATTGATTCTCGCTAAAATGAAGTCTTTCATCCTATCAACACTTAAGAGATTTTGTTTAAGTCAATCATTCAGTATCTGTCTATATTTCTGAGATAAGGTATTATGTACATTATTTACATTATTCGAACTATTGTCTCATCTTTGTCACCATATTTATTACAAAAACAGAACCAAACAAGCTCCAGCCTTCTTCAGGTGATTGGAATGTCAAACTGAACCCTTTATTTCACTCACTCGAGTATACTGTTCTAGTTCCACATGCAATGTTTAATGGTTATCAGTTATCTCCTGTTAATTCTCCTCTGAAAGTTCTCCACTGGCGTTAGATCCAGTGACAGGACCCAAAGAGTGTGAGTTCAATACCCGGTTAAGGCAGTGGAGAACTTGGAGAGAGGAATTAACAGGAAATAACTGAAAACAGACATCCATTAAACATGGTACGTGGAACTAGAACAGTCTAACCCAGTTAGCGAAATAAAGGGTTCAGTTTGACATTCCAACCATCTGAAGAAGGCCGGAGCGTACAACGGCTGAAACGTTGTAATAAATATGGCGACAAAGATGAGGACAATAGTCCGAATAATGTAAATAATGTAAGTCAATCATTGTTGAAAATTCCGTACATCATGTTCAACCCGAAAGCACCTTGGAATAGTGAAAGGTGCCTTCTGTGCTAAGCAAAGTATTAAAAAAACAAGGAAATTTTGTTCGAAACAAAGAAAAAAGTACTGAAATGATATCAGTCCTGTTATATGGCAGTGATTCTTGAACAAACTCCACACAGATGAAGAACAGAGTTGAAGCAGCAGAAATGTGGTTCTACAGAAGGATGCTGAGAATATAGTGGACTAAACATATGAGTAATGAGAAAGTTTTAGAGAAAATGGAAATTAAAAAAAGAAACTTATATTTAACTTCAGAAAGAGAGTGTTAAAATTTTTAGAGCACATAATGAGGAAAGGGAGCTTGGAAAATTTGTCACTCACAGTACATATGGGAGGCAAAAAGGACGGAAGAAGAAAGCGTGTAACCTACTAAACGAGTCTTTGTAAATGGATAGCAGAATAGGAATTAGGAGAGATAGCAAAAAGACAGTCAACAGTACAATCTACATTAATTCAAAACACTAATGCTAAACATCCAACAATCAAAGGGCACATAACTCTTACCTTGAAAAAAAAATACAATAATTTGTTAATGCCTCTTATTTTATTAGACGTTTTAAATTTATTAGTTTTCAGACAAATCACTTGAGTGAAAGCTTTTATCCTTGGACCCAATGTAAAAAGTAACACTCCAACACACTGACAATTTTAAATGTATTTTAATCATCAATACTTTTCTTCATACAATGCTGTATGTGTGTGCATATTTTTTGTCTTGTACTGTATTGTTGCACCCACAGATTGCAGTCCAATTTCCGTGTGCATTGCACAGGGACAAGAATAAATAAATAAATGGCCAAGGCAGATGTTGCTGGTACAGAAACAGATTTTGAAACTAACGAATAATTAATTTTACTTTTTTACATATAGCATTTGAGCGACAGTCTGATAAAATGGTATCTGACATGAAAGTGTGTATGAAGTAGAGACATGTCAGCAAATTCTTCCATGCAGAAAAAACCTGACCTCCATGCTCTAAAACTGTGCCATTTACTGAGGATTGCTGGACTTTTAAAGAGATCAAACAATGGATGTGAGCACAGCTCGACATCAGAACAACAATGGCAACAGTGAGGTTTGTGATAAACCATATTATTGCAGCCCTGCACAGCTGGCAATGAAATGTTCATTCGTGGTAAAAATGTGTAGCCAATGGCGGAGACTATGTGGAAAAATATGTTTTTGTAATTGGAAACTGACTCTTGCCAAAGATGTGATCGTGTTTCTTGTATCTGTTGTAGTTTCTGCAGAATTAAATCAGAGGTATTAATTTTGGAGCACCCTTATCCACAAATCTATCCTCTTTAAATGTTAAAATGACTAATCCATGAAAGATCCGAATTTTAAGCATCCAGTTTTTTCATTCTGTTAACATTTTACTCAGGAAAAGCTTCAGACGAACTGAATAAATCTAAGGAAAAAATCATTAACATGGCAACCTCACTACTTTCAATTTAAAAATATCTGAACAAATCAATGAAATTTCAGGTGATTTGATAAATGGCCAAAGAAAATAGCAAATACTTATTATTTGACTAATAATTTATGATCATAGTCATGTAGCCAAGCCATCAAAAATAGTGGCAATTGTTAGAAAGTTTTAATAGTGAGATGCAATGAAACAAGAGTATTGAAAGAATGTACTGGGATTCAATAAAGCAGAGATAAATAAAGTATTCACAGCTAAAATAGAGGCAAACGAACTACTTAATTAATCCAATCCCTTTATATTTTTTTTAGACATTCAATGGTATCTATTATTCATTGATCACTCTTGGTATTATAGAAATCACTTTTTACTCAATATCTTTTCATGTTAAAAATGTTATGTGTTTAATGTAATACAGAAATGGAAAAATCTCTTGGGAGAAAAAGATTAGCAACAGATCAACAAAGATAGCGATGACAAAGCCTATTTTAAATTGAAGTGAAACAACCACTTAATAGAAAAAAGGTATCCGAGTACCACATATGAAAGACTTGAACAAACAAGACTGTAATCTAAGAAATGTAGGAGTAAAAGAAATGGTTCATTTTGTATGAGAACTAATTTTGTCTAAATGAGGATAAATATTTTATTTGTATAGATTATTAAAACAACTAAGGGAAGTAATCAGTCATAAATTGACTAAATTAAGATGATTTACCACCTTTTCCACTACAGATGGGACAGGAAACATATAAATACACATTGATAATTATTATATCCTTTGATGATTAAGTAGAATTTCATTAAAATTCATAATTAAAAATTTCATTAAGAACTTTAATAAGTATTTATTTTAATATTATTCTCTTTAAGTATTGATATGTTATAAGATTCTATTTTTTGATTAATATATTTGAATTGTGACATTATTGCTGATTCAATAATAATTCTAGATAATTTATAATGAATAAATTTAAACCACTTTGGCATTTTTAAAATTGAAAGGATGGTTTGTATATTGCTTATGGGAAAAATAAAGAATTTAATGTATCCCTGATTTTTACAGCTCTTTTGTACATTCATATTAACTGTTCAAATTAATTTCTAAGCAGAAAGGTTGTCATAGAAACAATTTTTTCCCAGATTTTTTCCAATTGGGATGAAAATGCTCTTACAGAATGTAACAATGAAAAAAAAGAAAAAAAAAAAAAAAGAAATTTAAACATCCAACTGATTTTCACAAATTCCATCTGGTCACTTTTTTTAAATTTCTTTTAATCATTTCACCCCAAGCAAGGCAGTAAAGCCATTAAGACACAAGGGGTTACTGAGTGTGAAAGAATAAGAAAAAAAGAGAAACATTATTAAGGAGTGAGAACAATAGAAGAGTAATCAAGACAGTAGATAATGATTGACACTGCAATTAAATTTTTGAAGATCAAAGTCGACTCGAAAGCAAGAACCTGGGAGACTGTTCCACAGGTGAGAAAAGAAACTGTTAGTATAGAACTTAAGGTTACATCTAGCAGTCATTTCAAGTGTAAAAGGATGAGACCTTGTTGCCAATCTAGTAATGCACTTAAATTCATAAAGTCAAGATAGCATTAAGTAAATTTCATCAGATAAATTATCATGAAAGTATTTATAGAAAGGGCAGAGGGAAGCCTGTTCTATTTCCAGATTAAAATAGGATATTTTAACAAAGAAAAAATCTGTTTCCTGCCTTGTTAAACAATTTTAAACAAAGGATGTTTATTCTTTTCAGTTAGGAAATTACATTCAATAATAATATTTAATATCATACAGGTCAACAGATACTTTTCCTCAGCTTTGGATTATAAACAAAACTAATTTCAGTAATAACATACAGACAAGAACTACCTATGCATTTGTCACTATTGTGGCTACTTAAAATCAAAAAGATACAGCTGAAATTCCTGGGACACATAACGAGGAAAGATGGATTGGAGAATTTAACACCCACAAGACATATTAAAAGCAAGAAATACAGAAGGAAAAGGTGAGTAACTGACCTAATGAGCTTGTGTAAATAGATGGCAGAACAGTTAATGGGAAGGATAGTAAAGACAAACACTGCTAAGAGCTACAAAGGGTAGGAAGTTGTGGAGAGTCATGACTGCCCACATCCCGAAGGGACATTGCACGTAGAAGAAGAAAATATATGTCAAGTGAATTTCAAATCAAAATATTGCAAAAAGTCATCTAAAACTTTACGCTGTCTTTTAACAGAAACTGAGCAAAAATCCTACAAAATTTTATTTTCAATTGCCATAACAGGACCAATGTACAGCTGACATAAAACAGATTGTGTAATTAAAAGTGATCACTAGCGGCTCCTAGTAGTTCAATGACTAAAAAATGTATGAGGGTGGGGCTGAAAAGTTCATAGGCTCACTATGAAGGAATGATGTTAGAGCTGTGAAATCTTGCATGCATTCATTTCAACTCTTCTTATTAATAACTGCATTGTTTCTTTCCAGATAAAACTGACATCTGACTCTTCAAAGACGGCTTCAAAAATAACTGATAACAACAACTCTTGAAAATGGCACAGAATTTGGTATTGTGGTGTTATCAAGTACCTGCAGAAAAAAGGTTTGAGCCTCCAAAGACATTCATGCTGACATGGTTGCTACATTAAGGAATGACAATTCAGCTTTATCAACAGTGCAAAAGTGGGCAGATGAATTTAGAAGGGAAATGGAGAGTCTTGAAAATGACCCAAGGTCTAGACATCCTGCAACTGCCATAACCGAAGAAAACATTGATCATGTTCACCACATGGTGATGGAGGAGAGGTGATTGACTATAAATCAAATAGCCAATACTATTAATACATTCCGTGACAGAGATGAGAATATTCTATACAATGAACTTAGTATGACAAAGGTTTCTGCCATGTTTTCTGACATGTGATAAAAAGTGAAAATGGCTGATTCCATTATGGGAAAATCTGACATTGAGGCAGGTGCAGCTGGTTTCCTTAAATGTTTCCTAACTCAAGATGAATGTTTGGTTCATCAATGAGTCAGAGACAGAGACAAACTATGAAGTGGAAACATCCCTCCTCACCTGCTTCAAAGAAGGCCAAGGTCATTTCATCTGCAGGGAAGGTAATAGCCTCAGTTTTTTGGGACACAAAAGGCATTGTGTTTATTGACTAATCTTCAAAAGAGTCACATCATCAATGGAGAGCATTATAAAAAAATTTCTGAAACAATTATAAAAAACTATCAAGACCAAATGCCTAGGAAGATTAATGAAAAGGATTGTGTTTCATCAATGCTCCAGCACAAGTTCTTGGTTTGAATGGCTGCTCTGCATGACTGTGGCTTTTAACTGGTTGATCACCCTCCCTGTTTTCCTGATTAAGCCCCATATGACTATCATCTGTTCCCCAACATGAAAAAAAAAAACACTTGGCTGGTAACAAGTATTGCAGTGATGATTATGAGGATGTCATATCAGCTGACTTTGTTGAAAAATAAACTTCATTTGGTCACATGTCACAGGAGTATCTTGGTCAACTTATGAACTTTTCAGCTGACCCTTGTACATATTTTTACTTAACTGAATACAGTAACTAAACAAGAAATTTGAATCAACTTTTATATGCTAGTAACCAGGTGGAGCAAATGTAATTATCTATTTCCTAACAAAAAAAGAAAAATGATTGCAAAAATACCTTTTTTCATCTAAAGTAAAATTCAATTTCTTTCAACAGCAAAAAATTCAGTTGTAAACTGATATGAAGTGAAAGACACTTACGATTTCCTTTTGTAACATTATGGTGTTCAAATTGGGATAGATTATTGGCAGGGGGATCTATTTGTACAGTGGCTTCTTTTCCTTCTTGCTTATTGCTGGGGGTTTTACTTTCCAAGTTTAATTCCTCAACCTCATCACTTTCTAGGTCCTCAAACTGACCACTCTGAAAGGTAAAAAAGAAAAACGAAGCAAAATGCATTAAAAATATTAAATTATTCATTACGCTTTCTTAAACACAAATCTTACCTAATTATTATGTGCTGAAGAATATTTTTAAGCTTTTGATCAAATTTGTGGTTTGGATTTATTTTTCAATTTACGTGAAAAAATATTTAATTTTCTAAAATTAATCCTAATAGCAGGCGGTAAAAAATGTATTCTTTTATTTGATATTGTTTGATTTAAATAGCATAAGATGAAATGAATTCTTTTAAAACATTAATATCATTTAATAAATAGTGAATACTGGATGAGCTCTTCACATGACAAGGAAACTTGAATCATTAGAGATGTGGTTCTACAGAAGGATGTTGAGCATACCATAGATGGAACATGTGAATAATAAGCTAGTTTCAAGGAAACTGAAAACAAAGTGGACACTTATACTTTTGGTCAGAAAGAGATGGTTAAAATTTTGGGGACTTATAAGGAGTAAAAAGACACCTTGGAGAATTTGACATTCACAGGGCCTATTGTAAGCGAGACAGAAACAGCAAATAAACTTTCCTAATGAGCTTGTGTAAATGAATGGCAAGAGTGAGAATAAGAAGGAAAGTAAGAAAATAAACATTGCTAAAAGTTACAAAAGAAAAAAAAAATAAAATTGGGCAGTTACAGAGAGCTATGATTGTCCATATCCTGTAGGGACATAAGCATACAAAAAAAAAAAAAAAAGGAAGGAATAAACATTATAAAGTTATAAAACTGATTTAAATATTATGATTACTAAAACTTGTGAAACGAAAGGACTGTGTTTTAATGATGGGGAAATTATTGTTCTGTTTCTTTTCAGTATAAAAAGAAGAAGAGAAAGAAAATGTTTCATCATTTCCTGTAACTGCTTATAGAAAGGAATGGAGCTTTCAATTTAAACAGATGGACAGAAACTTACCTCTATGTCAGTCTATTTTAGGAAAATAAGACATGATTGAAAATTGATCTTCAACCACAACTCTTGATAGAGACTCTCTAAACAAATGTCTTACAACTATTTTTTTTTTTTTTTTTTAAATACTTCAAATTTTAGATCATTTGGGTGAAAATACAAACTGCAAATAATGAATGACACATTAAATCCCAAATTTTGGCAACTGGGTAACTTGATTTGGAAAGAATGGTCTTATTATAGATATTATACTTGATAGATCCTAACAACATTGGCATTCATGTTTGTGATTCTGAATTTTCTTGATGTTTAAAATGCAAGTTGTTCACTAACAAACATTTGCCTTTTTTGTATGGATAAATGGCTGACTTACTCATAAAGAAACATTATGTCATGTTTGGAGCCTTAGCACAAAAGATTTATTTTTCTTCTTGAAAAAGATGGATTTTACAGATGGCCATGAAATTTATTTACCGTAAATCCAGTAAGAATCTTGGAGTCATTTTGAAGGAGCATATTGAAAATATACTTGGAGATGTGTCCTCAGCAAATAAGAGCATTTTTATAAGCCTCCTTAATCATTTTCAACCCTATGGCCCCTTTCCCCACAGATAAAACATAGCAGCCTATCAGTCAACTATCGCTATAGCCATTGCAAATGTTCAGACAACTTAAATTTCTTAGGTTCCCGACCTTTACAGCGAAGACCTAACAGTGCCAGCTAAACAGGATCAAATCATCCTCATACCCTTTGTATTCCATTGGTAAGAAGGAAGTTTTTTTTCTAAAAACCATTTCTGTATGGAACAGATTCCTGAGAGAATGTTTTCTCAACCACCACAATCTTAACATCTTCAAGTCTAAGATCAAGCATTATCAATCCTATATTCTCAATCTACACTTACTTCCTATTCTCTTATGACCACACAACAAACTCATTCAGTAATCATCTACCTTGAGTGGCTCTTGGGCCTTGTATCGAATGAATATTTTAGTAAAAAAATGATTGGCAAATTAAGAGGCAAAAGACTATATATTCAGAAACCTCCTTCACTTACTGAAAAAAAAAAAAAAAAAAAAAAAAAAATTTTGTAATGACTTCTCGTGAGAAATGAATTAAAAAATATTCATAGTCTGTTGATTTGTCACTTTTCAAAATATTGGTTTTTACAAGGGAAGGGAGCATCCTGTAGAGCTCTTCAAATTACAGCAGCAGAAATGTCAACTCTTTAGAGCATTTTTCTTTTAATCATTTCATCCAAAGCAAGGTGATAAAGCCACTAAGACACAAGCTGGGTACTGAGGAGAAAAGACAACAAAAAGAACAAGATTCAAGGAGACAAACATTGATGGTTGATGTTGCATTTAAATTTTTGAAGATCCTAATTGATAGGAAAGCAAAAAAGCTGTAAGAGAAGAAACTATTAGAATTGAACTTATGGTTACACTTAGCTATTTCAACAGTAAAATGATAAGACCTAACTGCCAATCTAGTACTATGCTTAAATTCATGAAGCTAAGGTACCAAAGAGGAAATCTCATCAAAACAAATATGAAAATATTTATAGAAAAGCTACAGGGAAGCTATGTTATTGTAGTTGGAAAGTGACTGAAGTCAAGATGCCAGGTCAGGATTGATAACATTGCAGATTCTTCTTTGGATTTTGTCAAGAATCTCTTGATACATAACAGAAGCACCGGGCAAGATGTGGTAAGAATATTACATGTACAGATGAGCATTAAACTTATAATGTTGCCAGACAGATTCAGGTGAAAAAAAAAACTTGTCTAGAACAATTCCATGAATCAACTTTCTTAGCAGCAGACTGAACAAATGTCTTTATAAATGACTGTATAAAATGAACAGATGTCTATGTAAACATTCCAATTTGTAATCTATTTTTAAATGCAATGTAAATCGTTATCTTGTCTTTTTAATTATTGTTCTCTCTCTTTTTTCTCATATCCTCTAACACTCGGTAACCCCCTTGCACCCTAGTGGCTTTATTGCTTTTCTTGGGGTGAAAAACAAAAAAAATATCAGTGGAAAACTTTAGACTGAAAAAAACTTGATACTTACTTTTGGAGATTCACCAGCATCTTCAACATAAGCATATGAAAGCTCTGGATCAACAATGTCAACAACTGAAAACTCAAATGGATTCTGAAGACAAAAAAAGATTTTAAATAAATATATTTTTAATAAATACATGACAATTGGGTGGTGGATGTGAGCCAGAGTTCACATCACACATTACCAGGTCACATGGAAGAAATTTCACTGGCTATGACTTATCACTACAACCCATTGCTTTCCAATGAAGATTGTGTGTACAACACTCGCATCTGCAGCAACATGCTGAATACCAGTGAGTCATGGGTCTTGCCAACTGACTTTTGCAAAAGAATAAGGCCATAATATACTGGTTGTGTGTCCACTGAGGACAAAGTTAAGTCGGACTTGCATCTCAAGAAGCTAGGCTTTGATGGCCTTGAATCACTGTGGCACCACCATAGACTATGTTGAACTGGCTATTTTGAGTACAATGAGAGTCCTATCAAACATTTTGTATTTGTAAACCAGGAACTCTGAGATGAAATTATTTCAAGGTGTTTGGTTTGCAAAGATAGAAAAAAAAGTGCTATTACATTATTATTACATATTATATTTATTATTACATTATCAATATATTTATATATATTAATAATAATGTATAATAATATATATATAATAATGTAATATTTATTATTACATTAATATTAAATATTATTGCATTATTATGCTATTATTATTATTATTCAACTATTACATTATTATTGCTATTACATATTATTGCATTATTATGCTATTACATATTATTATATAACTATTACATTATTATGCTATTACATATTATTATATAACTATTACATATTGCTAACTTGCTTGAGATATTTTCTTCTAAATGTTACAATGAAAATCAGATCTGTATACACCAAATATTTATTGCTTGAAGCATTCAAAATGTCTGATTAAGTGTGGAAACAGTTAAGAAGGAAAAGATTATTTATACCACAAGCACATAAAAAAAATGGTCAAAAATTTAATCAATATAAAACAATGATTTAATTTTACATCAGATTCAGGTGTAGAATGTAAACAATGCTCTTAAAAAAAAAAAAAAAAAAAGAAGGAGGAATGTAAACAATGAACCAAAATGTAAGGATGTAAGCAATGCTCCCCCACACCCCAGCCCCGGAAATGTTGGTTGTAAACAATGAAAGAAAAAAAAAAAGTGAAGAGTAAACACTCACAAAAAATGTAGCATGAAATGATACCCCCCCCGAATGTAAACAATGTCTCCTTCCCCAATTGCAGGATGTAAACAATCCCATCCCTGATGTTGATGGGAAGCAATCTTTAAAAAAAAAAAAAAAAAAAAAAAAAACACGTTAACAATGCTCCAGCAAAGATGAAAAAAATGTAAACAATTCCCCTTAAAAAGGCAAAGTAAATATTGCCACATAACAATGCAGAGTAAATGCTCTCCTGCAAAATTGTAGAATGTTAATGTTCATGAGTGTAAGAATGTTAACAATGCTCCCCAAAAAAGCAGAAATGTAAACAATACTCCCCCAAAATGAAAGAATGTAAACAATGCTCAACAAATGTAGAATGTAAACAATGAAAAAAAATACATCAAAAGAAAAGAATATGTGATCCCAATTTTGACCTGATAAACGTCGTTTTAACAAAGATTAAATATAATTTATTCAGATGAAGATGCAATAAAAATGTCATAATCTCTAAATATACAACTGGGTGATTACAATTCATTCCCTTTTATTATCAGATTAAGACTGAAATAATGTGAAAGATTTATATCATAACAAAGATTTAAATTATGTTTTCTCTCAGCCAAATATAAATCCAAATCCAGTTTTGTTGCAGGCAGATAAGTATTTATATGTATGGGCTGATTTTTTAAGTTTTTTTTTTTTTCCAGATTAGTGCGTTTCCATAAACTGCATCAAACAAAAGAGAGGAAGCCCCCCTTTCTCAATACTGGAAAGAACAATAATAGGCTCGAGAAATCTCTTTGCCTGAAAAATTGTTTTTTTTTTTTTTTAATCAATTCACCCGAAGCAAGGTGATAATGCCACTAAAACACACCTTATTCATCATAACCATTTTAACAGTAATCAAAGTGGCTATCACATCTGTATGAATGCAAAAAATCATTTAGATTTGATTAATTTTGCTTTTTATGGTTTATCAATCATAAAACATATTTGTGGTTTCTGTCAATATCTTCGAGATGAGGTATTATCATTATTTACATTATTCAAAATGTTATCCTCATCTTTATTGCCATATTCACAATATTTCGGCTGTTTTATGCTCTGGCCATCTTCAGGTGATTGGAATTTTGAACAAAACCCTTTATTTCGTCCACCAAGGTAGATTGTTCTAGTTCCACATGCTGTACCTCTTCTGGATGTCTCAGTTATTTCCCTTTAACTCAACTCTCCAAGTTTTTTGGTTCATCATGTCTGTAGCCTGGTACTGAACTCACAACTCTTTGGGTCTAGTCACTGGATCTAACAAATGTCTTCATCCACTGGGCCATATGTTCTTGAGGAAGAGATATGGCATGTGGAACTAGAACTACCCTGGAGAAAATAACAGGTTCAGTTTGAAATTCTACTCACCCGAAGAAGGCAGGAGTGTACAACGTCCGAAAAATTGTGAATCTAGCAATGAAGATAAGGATAACAGTCTGAATAATGTAGATATTTGGAGTTATAAGAATAATTTTTTTTTTGCCCATGAATATTGTATTAGCAATCATTTACAGAAGTCAAAAGAGTTGGTTTTTGTTTGTTTCCATGATTCCTGTTGAAAGAGTGCCAATGTTAAACAGCAAAATCCTTCTAAATGTGCAGCAAAAGTACACAGGTATCTAAATGTAGGTTCTTGAAAAACACTTACTGAGTGCAGGTTGAGGTAATTCAGGTGAGTGAAAACATGTAGGAAGTTTGGTTCCTTCATCAGGCGATTGTTTGAAAGGTCAAGGCAGGTCAGTTTAACGAGATTTTTAAAGGTCGGTGGCAATTCAAGCAACTGTTTCAAAAAAGAGAATGAAAAAAAGAAAACTTCATCAGTAGAAGTAATATGAGAAGACAACTTGTAACATTGCATGTGTTAATCAGAAAAGAAGAATAAATTCAGGATTAGAGAGAAAAACAAAAGAAAGATTTATATCAATAAGAAAAAATAACCACATAGATTGTGGCAAAAATATTGTATTTTTGAAATACAATATATCTGATGGGTTCACAAGAAAAAAAAAAAAATAATAAAAAGGAATATGGTGGCACTTTTACATTGGCCCATGAATTGATAAATACACAAACAGCAGTGAGTTTCTCCATCCAAGTTTTTCAGTGTGAATCTTCATTTCATACGGCAGAAATGGCAAGACTGTCACTGTTTGGACATTTTTAGTACTTTTAAATTTTTCTTAAGCATAAATGAGTTGCTCATTTACCACTATTCTTACCAATATTCTTTCAATGAGAAACTTGTTGCTGCATTTTGGCTGTTAATGTTTTAATTTGGAGTTGCAGAAAGTCATGTCCGCCTATGTCATGAAAGGACTTGACATTAAAAAGAAAGAGTTAAAGAACAAAATAAAAATGGCCTATCATGCAACATAATTGAAAGAAGGCTATAGAACATAGCAACCAAAATATTCTGACTAAAACAACAAAGATGAAGATATCAGTGAGAATAATTTGTGGAAGAAGCCAAAATTTTTCTTTTTTATCATTTCTCTCCAAGCAAGGCAATAAAGCCACTCAGATGCAAGAGGTTACAGCACATAAAAGAATGAGAAAAAGAAAAACATTACTAAGGAGAGAGAATGATAAAAGAACAGGAATTAAGACAAAAGATAACGATTAACACTGCATTTGAAATTTTAATCGTTTCTCTCCAAGCAAGGCAATAAAGCTACTAAGACGCAGGGAGTTACTGAGAGTAAAAAAATATGAGAAAAAGAAAAACATTATTCAGAAGAGAGATTGAGAAGAATTAAGAAGACAGAAAATAATGATAGACATTGCATTTAAATTTTTGAAGATTGGAAAGTAAGAAACCGAAAGAGAATTCTGTAAGCAAGAAGTGCAAGAGAAGAAACTATTAGCATAGAACTTACGGTTTGCGTCTCACGATTTCAGCTGTAAAATGATGAGATCTTGCCTCCAATCTTGTATGGCACTTAAATTGATAGTCTAGATATCCATAGCAAAAAGCTCATCTGAACAATTATCATGAAAGTATTTGTAGAAAAAAATAGGGGAAGCTATGTTATGGTGCTGGGAAAATGACAAGTAAATAGGAGAGGGATTTATAAGCAATGGTGATGTATCTGGTAGGCTAATGTTTACCCAGATGCCATAGACACCCAATCCTTGTCCCTAGCCTCAATCCATAATACTGGAATATTAAATGTAAATAGCAGAGGATTTACCCAATGGTGATATCTGGTAGGCTAATGTTTACCCAGATGCCATAGACACCAATCCTTATCCCTAGCCTCAATCCATAATACTGGAATATTAAAGGTAAATAGCAGACAGGATTTATAAGCAATGGTGAGGTATCTGGGGAGGCTAATGTTTACCCAGATGCCATAGACACCCAATCCTTATTCCTAGCCTCAATCCATAATACTGAATATTGAATGTAAATAGCAGAGGGATTTATAAGCAATGGTGATGTATCTGGTAGGCTAATGTTTACCCAGATGCCATAGACACCCAATCCTTATCCTAGCCTCAATCCATAATACTGGAATATTAAATGTAAATAGCAGAGGGATGTATAAGCAATGGTGATATCTGGTAGGCTAATGTTTACCCAGATGCCATAGACACCCAATCCTTATCCTAGCCTCAATCCATAATACTGGAATATTAAATGTAAATAGCAGAGAGGATGTATAAGCAATGGTGATGTATCTGGTAGGCTAATAATTTACCCAGATGCAATAGACACCCAATCCTTATCCCTAGCCTCAATCCATAATACTGGAATATTAAATGTAAATAGCAGAGGGATTTATAAGCAATGGTGATGTATCTGGTAGGCTAATGTTTACCCAGATGCAATAGACACCCAATCCTTATCCCTAGCCTCAATCCATAATACTGGAATATTAAATGTAAATAGCAGAGGGATTTATAAGCAATGGTGATGTATCTGGTAGGCTAATGTTTACGCAGATGCCATAGTCTCCCAGTCCTTATCCCTAGCCTCAATCCATAATACTGGAATATTAAATATAAATAGCAAAGGATTTATAAGCAATGGTGATGTATCTGGTCCCCTAATGTTTACAGATGCCATAGACTCCCAGCCTCCAATCCATAATCCTAGCCTCAATAGCCCATAATACTGGAATATTAAATAATAAATAGCAGAGGATTTATAAGCAATGGTGATGTATCTGGTAGGCTAATGTTTACCCAGATGCCATCCTTAGCCTCAATCCATAATACTGGAATATTAAATATAAATAGCAGAGGATTTATCAATGGTGATGTATCTCCAGCTAATGTTTACCCAGATGCCATAGACTCCAGTCCTTATCCCTAGCCTCAATCCATAATACTGGAATATTAAATATAAATAGCAGAGGATTTATAAGCAATGGTGATGTATCTGGTAGGCTAATGTTTACGCAAAAGATGCCATAGACTCCCAGTCCTTATCCCTAGCCTCAATCCATAATACTGGAATATTAAATATAAATAGCAGAGGATTTATAAGCAATGGTGATGTATCTGGTAGGCTAATGTTTACCCAGATGCCATAGACTCCAGTCCTTATCCCTAGCCTCAATCCATAATACTGGAAATTAAATATAAATAGCAGAAATTTATAAGCAATGGTGATGTATCTGGTAGGCTAATGTTTCAGATGCCATAGATGTATTATCCCTAGCCTCAATCCATAATATTGAATATTGTAAATAGCAGAGGCATTTATAAGCAATGATGTATCTGGTAGGCTAATGTTTACCCAGATGGCATAGACTCCCCAATCCCTAGCCTCAATCCATAATACTGGAATATTAAATGTAAATAGCAGAGGGATTTATAAGCAATGGTGATGTATCTGGTAGGCTAATGTTGAACAGATGCCATAGTCTCCCAGTCCTTATCCCTAGCCTCAATCCATAATACTGGAATATTAAATATAAATAGCAGAGGGATTTATAAGCAATGGTGATGTATCTGGTAGGCTAATGTTTACCCAGATGCCATAGTCTCTCCCAGTCCTTATCCCTAGCCTCAATCCATAATACTGGAATATTAAATATAAATAGCAGAGGGATTTATAAGCAATGGTGATGTATCTGGTAGGCTAATGTTTACGAGATGCCATAGACTCCCAGTCCTTATCCCTAGCCTCAATCCATAATACTGGAATATTAAATATAAATAGCAGAGGGATTTATAAGCAATGGTGATGTATCTGGTAGGCTAATGTTTTACGAGATGCCATATCTCTGGTAGCCTCAATCCATAATACTGAATATTAAATATAAATAGCAGAGGGATTTATAAGCAATGGTGATGTATCTGGTAGGCTAATGTTTACGAGATGCCATAGTCTCCCAGTCCTTATCCCTAGCCTCAATCCATAATACTGGAATATTAAATGTAAAATAGCAGAGGATTTATAAGCAATGGTGATGTATGATGTATCTATAGGCAAGAGATGCCATAGTCTCCCAGTCCTTATCCTAGCCTCAATCCATAATACTGGAATATTAAATGTAAAATAGCAGAGGGATTTATAAGCAATGGTGATGTATCTGGTAGCTAATGTTTACCCAGATGCCATAGACTCCAGTCCTTATCCCTAGCCTCAATCCATAATACTGGAATATTAAATGTAAATAGCAGAGGGATTTATACAATGGTGATGTATCTGGTAGGCTAATGTTTACCCAGATGCCATAGACTCCCAGTCCTTATCCTAGCCTCAATCCATAATACTGGAATATTAAATATAAATAGCAGAGGATTTATAAGCAATGGTGATGTATCTGGTAGGCTAATGTTTACCCAGATGCCATAGACTCCCAGTCCTTATCCCTAGCCTCAATCCATAATACTGGAATATTAAATGTAAATAGCAGAGGCATTTATAAGCAATGGTGATGTATCTGGTTTAATGTTTACCCAGATGCCATAGACTCCCAGTCCTTCTGCCTCAATCCATAAGGAATATTAAATGTAAATAGCAGAGGGATTTATAAGCAATGGTGATGCCAGGCTAATGTTTGCCCAGATGCCCTCAATCTTGTCCCTAGCCTCAATCCATAATACTGGAATATTAAATGTAAATAGCAGAGGGATTTATAAGCAATGGTGATGTATCTGGTAGGCTAATGTTACCCAGAGATGCCATAGTCTCCCATCCTTATCCTAGCCTCAATCCATAATACTGAATATTAAATAATAAATAGCAGAGGGATTTATAAGCAAAATGGTGATGTATCTGGTAGGCTAATGTTTAATTTAGATGCATGGGGGAAGGTTTAGACTCCCCAGTCCTTATCCCTAGCCTCAATCCATAATACGGAATATTAAATGTAAATAGCAAAGGGATTTATAAGCAATGGTGATGTATCTGGTAGGCTAATGTTTACCCAGATGCCATAGACTCCCAGTCCTTGTCCCTAGCCTCAATCCATAATACTGGAATATTAAATGTAAATAAAAAGGATTTATACCCAGTGATGTATCTGGTAGGCTCAATATTTGGACCCAGATTCCATAGGGACTCAATCCTTATCCCTAGCCTCAATCCATAATACTGGAATATTAAATGTAAATTTGAAGGATTTATAAGCAATGGTGATGTATCTGGTAGGCTAATGTTTACCCAGATGCCATAGACTCCCAGTCCTTGTCCCTAGCCTCAATCCATAATACTGGAATATTAAATAGGGGAGGTTTAATCAAAGTTGAGGATTTATCAATGGTGATGTATCTGGTAGGCTAATGTTTACCCAGATGCCATAGGGACTCCCAATCCTATATCCC